GATGTCTGTCCAGACTGTTTACCTAAACGAGCGAGCGGAATGAAAGTGCACCTGCACTATGTGTCGTCATCTCTTCTGGACAGTACTGAATTTCGTAAATGGTTGTTTACTGCGTGCAGCAAAACTCCACCGACCTAACTCAACATCTTAACCGAAACGATTGATTGCCTCAATTTTCGCTACACAGCTACTTACGGCTCAACACCAATAATCGTCACGAATCAAAAGGTTTTGCAGAAACAGGTCAGTTAGCAGTTCAATAAATTACATTACTAATTATCTCACATCAGTCATTTGAAAAATGCATTTTCCCTATTTCAAACTCAATTGTCTACCTAATTTCCTTACTGTGTTTCCAAACTCATAATTATGGTGTTTTGATGAGGTTCTTATGTGGTACTATCATCTGTAGTTATCCATCATCAACTCGAGCTGTTTTCAGAATTTCTAATTATCTTCTGACTAAAATCTCACAATCCTCCAAATTCATGATGCTCTCATCATGCATTTGGAGAACATTGGATTTCCCAGTTTGAATCCATCATGATGATTTTGTGCTATCACCCACAAGCACGTCTTGCTTTTATTGATTCCTCAAAAAAATCGTTTCGATTTGCAACTGCGTGCAGGTTGCTAAAAATGGATTCTACAAGTGTTTCTGAAAATTGATAAGATTGATATCAAGTTCCGTAAAATTCCATGATTCTCACTGCTTATTGTTGAAGATGACTATTATACAACCATCGCAGTAGAAAATTCTGCTAACGGAAACTGTGCAGTAGTGTATGAGAGGTGATTAATTCACAAATTTCGTCTTCTTCCATCAGTTCATCATTTGCACTTTCAAAAATTGATCTTAGAATGTGCGTTTTCAATATAACATAGTAGGGATATCTGCGTGTTTGAAAACACAGCCCAAGAATATTTTCAAAAAAAATGCTCGCGTGTCATTCAAAAAATGATCATTGCTAAACATCTGACAATAGTGTACCATTACTTCTGACACATTTACAACACATGCCTGTAGCTTCTTCGATTTGGTAAAGAATATCCTTGAAAATGCAGTTGTTTGAGGAAAACCTCGAATTCCGAATTTAATAATCTGATAATTACATCTGCACAAACTATTCAGAATGAAGTTTGCAGGTGTCAAATACTACAAAAATCATTTTAATCAGGACTGCGCAGTTGCACACAGCTATTTTAATATCACCTGATTCATAGAGTCTATAAGAGGTGGTGATACTTTGTCAACCTGCTTGGTTGCTAAACAAGCAAAACATCATGCAGTTCGAAATTCCTTCAAAAGAATGTAGCAACGAAGTAGCGGTAAGCTGCAAATGTTGTTATTAATACTTTGCAAAAGATTCCATCAAAAGTCATAATATTATCTTTTCATGCTTCGGACATTGTATTATCGGTTAGATTCTCAACGTCACAGCCTTGCTTCAACTATTATAATTTTATAGTCTGATTTGCAATGCAATCGGAAGAGCAAGTCGCAAGTCATTTTGGACAGTTACCTACTATTGTGACTGAGGTAAGTAGGTACAATTATGGTTTCTTACGTCTGCAAAATTTCAGTTGTGATCTCTCCTATTTAGCTGCCACAGCCAAATGAAGATATGAGAAGATACTCTCGGAAGCGAGTTGTATATTTTGGGGAGGTAAGTGGCGTTTGTTCCTATCTTTATATGAAGATCGCTATTACAGCCAGATGACCGCCCGAGTGGTAGCATCAAAAACTGTATGGAATCTACTAGAGCTGTAAGTCAACATCTATTTCATTATTTCGGCTTCTCAATCGCTCGCAATTCTTTCATTACAGTCACTCCAGCAGCCGTGTTGTTCCAGACAACATGCAGAACCGATCGCGAAGGATGAAACTCTAATAAAACACACACAAGCGGATACTTGCCTAACTGCCAGCAGTTTTCATGAGACTTTGAGTGAGCGTGAGCGCCTAGAAGTCGATGCTAAAAGAGTTAGATTACGGAGATCGAAGGAAACCACTCAACAAAGAGCAGAACGCCTTGCGAAAGATGCAGAAAGACATAGATTAAGAAGATCCGCTGAAACGGAGGAGATGCGATTGCTACGCTTGCGCAAATCTGCAGATGGCAGGAGGAGGCAGCGCACACATAACAATGTTGAACATGAGAATAATGGTGAAGAATGCGAATGTAGCTCGATCTCAAGTAAAGTTGATTCGATAGAGCTCACAGTAAGCTTATTCTGAAAATTTTCAAAATTATACTTGAAAACTTTTATGGTTCTGCACTTCTTTCTTTCACTTTATAATGAAGTAACAGGCTTACAAGATTTACTGTTCACTTTGCGAAAACACTGCGTGAGTCATTTAATAGAATTTTTTACAGATCGGACAACCACAAACCAGTGACGATGCCGCAGGTACAGTTCCCGCTCGAGGATCAGTTGCAGCGAACCAGACACAGGTCTTATGCAAAGCTAAAGAAAATGCGTCGATGTCTCTCATTCCCATGAAACTGAGAAACGAAAGCAATTCCGCGCCATCTACTCCTCGGCTTGCCCCTACAAAACTTCAGCAGATTCGAAGTTGCAGCCCTCTCCGAAGAACTTCTTCAGATGGCGTTGAAGACGTGGTAAGTACAAATTTCTCTAAGGTCCCTCATTCGATCTTTTTGATGTTTCTAGGAACTCCTTGCGGAAAACATTCCATCCACTGATTGTCGCGAATCCGCCGGAGAAGAGACTTCAAGTCAGGTATGATTAGAATTGCACTAATTCTCTTCTCTTAAGAAAGTGTTAAGATGATCCTACAAAACTTTCGAATGCGCCAACGGCGATCACTTTTTGGCATTGCTCTGACCATGGACGATGTGGAGGAGAATTATCTGGGGTTGCTGAACGTAAGCTGCAATAGTTGCGGTGCCTTATTTT